GGCTCAGAAATAACAATAATATCAGCACCAGTAGAAGAAGCCCAAATCCTCATCATATCTATTTTAGGAAGGAGGCCATCCATCCATTTTCTTCCGCTTATCCAGGGTCGGGTCGCGGGGGTAGCAGCCTAAGTAGGGCGGCCCAGACTTCCCTCTCCCCAGCCACTTGGGCCAGCTCTTCCGGGGGAATCCCGAGGCGTTCCCAGGCCAGCCAAGAAACATAGTCCCTCCAGCGTGTCCTGGGTCTTCCTCTGGGCCTCCTTCCGGTGGGACGTGTCCGGAACACCTCACCAGGGAGGCGTCCAGAAGGCATCCTAAACAGATGCCCAAGCCACCTCAACTGGCTCCTCTCGACGTGGAGAAGCAGCGGCTCTACTCCGAGTCCCTCCCGGATGATCGAGCTTCTCACCCTGTCTCTAAGGGAGAGCCCAGACACCCTGCGGAGAAAACTCATTTCAGCCGCTTGTATCCAAGATCTCATTCTTTCGGTCACAACCCAAAGCTCGTGACCATAGATGAGGGTGGGAACGTAGATATCGATCGGTAAATTGAGAGCTTCGCCTTTTGACTCAGCTCTCTCTTCACCACGACAGATCTGTACAGCGCCCGCTTCACTGCAGACGCTGCACCTATCCGCCTATCGATCTCACGCTCCGTTTTTCCCTCATTCGTGAACAAGACCCCAAGATACTTGAGCTCCTCCACTTGGGGCAGGACCTCCTCCCTGACCCGGAGAGGGCACTCTTATCCTTTTCCGGCTCAAGACCATGGCCTCGGATTTGGAGGAACTGATCTTCATCCCGGCCGCATCGCATTCGGCTGCGAACCGCTCCAGCGAAAGCTGTAGATCACGATCTGATGAAGCCAATAAGACCACATCATCTGCAAAAAGCAGAGACGCAATCCTAAGGCCACCAAAACGGATCCCCTCAACACCTTGGCTGCGCCTAGAAATTCTGTCCATAAAAGTTATGAACAGAATCGGTGACAAAGGGCAACCTTGGTGGAGTCCAACACTCACCGGGAACAAGCCCGACTTACTGCCGGCGATGCGGACCAGGCTCTGACACCGGTCATACAGGGACCTAACAGCCCGTATCAAAGGGCCCGGTACCCCATACTCTCAGAGTACCCCCCACAGGGCCCCCCGAGGGACGCGGTCGAACGCCTTCTCCAAGTCCACAAAGCACATGTAGACTGGTTGGGCAAACTCCCACGCACCCTCCAGGACCCTGCTGAGAGTGTAGAGCTGGTCCAGTGTTCCACGGCCAGGACGAAAACCGCACTGTTCCTCCTGAATCCGAGGTTCGACTATCCGACGGACCCTCCTCTCCAGAACCCCCGAATAGACCTTACCAGGGAGGCTTAAGAGCGTGATTCCCCTGTAGTTGGAACACACTTTTTGAATAAGGGGACCACCACCCCGGTCTGCCAATCCAGGGGAACTTCCCCCGATGTCCACGCAATATTGCAGAGTCGCGTAAGCCAACACAACTCTACAACATCCGGAGCCTTAAGGAACTCTGGGCAGATCTCATCCACCCCTGGGGCCCTGCCACCAAGGAGCTTTTTAACCACCTCGGTGACCTCAGCACCAGAGATTGGAGGGCCCGACCCAGAGTTTCCAGGCTCCGCTTCCTCAGTGGAAGACGTGCCGGTGGGATTGAGGAGGTCTTCAAAGTATTCCGCCCACCGACCCACAACATCCCGAGTTGAGGTCAGCAGCACACCACTCCCACTATAAACAGTGTTGGTGGCATACCGCTTTCCCCCCCTGAGACGCCGGATGGTGGACCAGAATCGTCTCGAAGTCGTGCGGAAGTCGTTCTCCATGGCCTCTCCAAACTCCTCCCATGCCCGAGTTTTTGCCTCAGCAACCACCCGAGTCGCATGTCGCTTGGACTGCCGGTACTCATCAGCTGCTTCAGGGGTCCCACAAGCCAAAAAGGCCCGATAGGACTCCTTCTTCAGCCTGACGGCATCCCTCATCGACGGTGTCCACCATCGGGTTCGAGGGTTGCCGCCGCGACAGGCACCGACAACCTTGCGGCTGCAGCTCTGGTAAGCCGCCTCGACAATAGAGGCACGAAACATGGTCCACTCAGATTCAATGTCCTCCACCTCCCTCGGAACATGTTCAAAGTTCTCCCGGAGGTGGGAGTTGAAACTCCGTCTCGCAGGAGACTCTGCCAGACGTTCTTAGCAAACCCTCACAATACGTTTGGGTCTGCCAGGTCTGACCGGCATCCTCCCCCACCATCGGAGCCAACTCAACATCAGGTAGTGATCAGTTGACAGCTCCGCCCCTCTCTTCACCCGAGTGTCCAAGACATGTGGCCGCAGATCAGATGAGACGATGACAAAGTTGATCATCGAACTGCGGCCTAGGGTGTCCTGGTGCCAAGAGCACATATGGACACCCTTATGCTTGAACAAGGTGTTCGTTATTGACAATCCATGACGAGCACAGAAGTCCAACAACAGAACACCACTCTGGTTCAGATCAGGGGGTCCGTTCCTCCCAACCACACCCCTCCAGGTCTCACTGTCATTGCCCACATGAGCATTGAAGTCCCCCAGCAGAACAAGGGAGTCCCCAGAAGGTGCACTTTCCAGTACCCCCTTCAAGGACTCCAGAAAGGGTGGATAATCTGAACTGCCGTTTGGTGCATAGGCACAAACGACAGTCAGAACCCGTCCCCCCACACGTAGGCGGAGGGAGGCCACCCTCTCATTCACCGGGGTGAACCCCAATACACAGGCACCAAGTTGGGGGGCAATAAGTACGCCCACGCCTGCTCGGCGCCTCTCACCAGGGGCAACTCCAGAGTGGAAGAGTGTCCAGCCCCTCTCAAGGAAACTGGTTCCAGAGCCCGAGTCATGCGTAGAGGTGAGTCCGACTATTTCTAGCCGGAACCTCTCAGCCTCACACACCAGCTCAGGCTCCTTCCCCACCAGTGAGGTGACATTCCACGTCCCAATAGCCAGCTTCGGTAGCCGAGGATCAGACCGCCAGGGTCCCCGCCCTCGGCCACCAACCATCCCACATTGCACCCGACCCCTTTGGCCCCTCCCACAGGTGGTGAGCCCATGGGAAGGGGGACCCACGTCTCCTCTTCGGGCTGTGCCCGGCCGAGCTCCATGGGTAAAAGCCCGGCCACCAGGCACTCGCCCGCGTGCCCCACCTCCAGACCTGGCTCCAGAGTGGGGCCCCAGTGACTCACGTCTGGGCAAGGGAACACTAGGTCCATTTGTGTTTCTCATCATTGGGGTCTTTGGGCTGCACTTTGTCTGGTCCCTCACCTAGGACCTGTCTGCCATGGGTGACCCTACTAGGGGCATAAAGCCCCTGACAGCATAGCTCCTAGGATCATTGGGACACTCAAACCCCTCCACCACGGTAAGGTGGCAGCCCAGGGAGGGGTGGCAGCCCAGGGAGGAAGGAGGCTACGAGCATTAATATGCACAATGTGTAAACCTGACATGTTTTTAAGATCTGATGGAGTACTACATGAGGTGAGTGGACCAGGATTGGGTTGAATACCAGCCAGCAATAAAAGTATTACAATCAGACATTTCTGAGAGTTCTTTGTGGCAGTAGTATAATTGTTGGAGTTTATATTGTAGTTCTTAGTCATCATAAACATGTTATGATGAGATGTGTTCATGAAGATGTGGTTATTTAGAACCCAGTAGCAGAGAAGTTGGCATGGACGACCAAGTTCAGATGCACCAACATGGTTTGACCAGCCAGAATGTCCAGAATTGATGGACTGCTCCAGAATCATGCGCATCAGGTGGCACAAGGAGCACAGAACGGCAGGGCATTGGATGCTCACAAGCCACTAGGATTGGCTCACCTTGAGCCTGGCTTCGACCTTGTTTGTGTAGCCCAGATGGATTGGCACAGCGGTCCGGCTGCACATGATGTCAGTGCAGAGAGTGGTTGAGATGTTGGTGCAGCTGATGCAAAGCTGGACAGCAGCAGGTGGGACAAGACATGGAAGAATAAGCCCGTACTACCATATGATCATCGGCAACAACAAGCTGCTGAAGAATTTGCCCATCGCCATTGCAGAGGAGGGGGAGAGGAGGGGATGCAATGTACCAGTGATCCAAATTAATTCAAGAATTTATCCATTGCCATTCTAGAGAAGGGGGAGGGGGGAAGTGTAATCTAATTTAATTCAGGGGCTCGAAGAAAAAAGACTGTTCTAAACAGCAGAAAAAGGATAAAACAGCAACACAGTACCTCACTCAGATCAAACAATCCAAGTTGTGATGCCTCAAACCAATTCTTAACAACAACTTAAAGCTACTGAAGAGAGAGAGCAGTGCTGCATATACCTTTTCAGAGTTGCACGGGTATTTTGTTTAGTGTGAACATGATCTGGCCATGTTTTATTGCAGATTTGAAATATTATAACATACCAGTAAATATTTTCAGCCATGACATATCATCCATCCCTCCATCCATTATCTTTTCCTGCTTCTTCCTTTTCGGGTCGTGGGGGTTCACTGGTGCCCATATTCAGCCATCACTGTAAAAGAGGAGGGGGGTACACCCTGGACAGGTCACAAGTCCACCACAGGGCACTTACGTACACAGACACATATTATATACTGTGATATTATAATTCCCAGCCATAGTTATGATTTAAATGGACTGTACTTATACAGCACCTTTCTATCTTGTTTCAAGATACTCAAAAGTGCTTTACACTACAATCTGTGTCCTCATTTACCCATTCATACCGCACTCTACTAGATCTCTACAAAACTACTTTAACAAATCATTCTAATGAGACTAATCAGTGCTTTAGATCACATTCATACACTGACGGGACACACATCAGAGGCTATGAGGGGTTCAGTGTCTTGCCCAGGGACACGTCAACATGTGACTCTTGGTGGATTTAAAGTTTTTCATTTACTGCCTGTAAAATGTGACTTCCATGTGAACAGTTTGTTAATGTTTTTGTTTTTTTTCCTTTGTTCAGCCATTTTCTCGGATTCCCCGCCGCGTCACCTTTGAGGATGAGGAAATTGTTCGTATAAATCCCCGGGAGCGCAGCTGGGAGCGGAACACAGAACGCCACCTTGGGCGCCAGTCGGACCGCCACTGGCTCACAGGGTACGAGGACTACCGGCACGCAACTGTGTGTGACAAATTCATCCACCCAGACAACTCTGAGTCCTACGTCCACTTGGATAAGACGGAGGCGCAGAAGCACGACTACACCTACCCACTGGCACCAGCCCTGTCGCCATCAGACTCTGACCCTTCTCTCGGACCTTTAACTAATAAGGGCCATGGTGGCTCCTATCATTCAGGCATCTCCTCGGTGGTCTCTGCCCAGCCTCGCTCCTTTTTCTTGGGCTCTTTGTCATCCAATGACAGGAAGGGGCGAAGAGACAAAGGGATGGAGCGTGCTCAGTGCGAGCACTGCGGTGAAGCCTTTTACCTCTTCGAGAACCGGAGAGGCCGGTGCCAGGATGCTCTGGACCCTGTGCGGGTGTGCATCCATCGGGTCAGCTGCATGTGGTTGGCAGATACCATGCTCTACCACTGCATGTCTGACCCGGAAGGGGACTACTCAGACCCGTGCTCCTGCGACAGGGGTGAGGGCGGCAGCGGAAGCCGTCTCGGCACTCGTTGGTTAGCTCTGCTTGGCTTGTCTGTGGTGGCGCCCTGCCTTTGCCTCTACCCACCTCTCCATGCGTGCCACCGGGCAGGGCTTGCATGCGGCTGCTGCGGAGGCCGACACAAGGCCCTGAGCTGAGAAGCCATTCTTGGAATTCTCAGCAGAAACTACAAAAAACCTAAACCCAATGCAAACACAGGGAAAGGGAAGGATGAGGAGACACTCACTGTGGTCTCTTACCTTGGATTTATTGGGTTTCCCTACAAATTCCAGACACTGAAATAAGCCAAATAAGAGACGAAAAAACTGTTGGTGCATTTTCTAAACAGCCTGGGAAGATAAGCTCCCCCTCATGGCAGGCAGTTCTCTCAGCTCTCCACGTGGCCATTTCATGCTCCACTTCTAATGAGAGAGCCGTTTTTTTCAGGGGGGCCTTTTTTATAGTCAGCCTATATGTCATGTATCACATATGCAGGTACTTTATATTGTTGTATTTGTACATTGACTCTACGTCAAAGAACTTGAATTGTTTCTTTGTCGTATTTTATTTCCTCTTTCATGTCCGTGTGGCCATTCAGCTTATTTTCTATTCCAATATCAGGCCTGATCATTTAAGCTCCAGCTACAACAGAAATCAGACACTACACCTCTTTGTGCACGTATGTGTGTGCGCGTGTGTGTGTTGTGGCCTTTTTGTTGTCTGTACTACAACTTGTAGTAGAACTTATGTTTATAGACTTCATAGTTCTCCAGTATCAACATTGTTTTTAGGGTCACCCAAAACACAGTACTCCTCTTCAAATATCCAAAGATTCATATTTTATCCTATTTATATTCTTGCTGAATTGATCAACCAGTTAAAAAAAAGAAGGGTGCTAGGTTGAAATTCAGTCACTGAATTAGATGTTGCCTCTAGTCATGATACAGTAATCAAGCATCTCCATCTCCTTGCTCACAAACAGTGCCTAGAAATCACCTTAGGAACCTACTAGGTCAGGGGTGCCCAATACGTCGAGCGCAATCTACCGGTCAATCGCAAAGACATTAAAAATAGATGTCAGCCTATCATCCATCCTCACTATGAAATATGTTGCTTGATTGACAGACAGGGCAGCCAGTCTGAGGCCCCATTTACACGATTAGAACCGTAGCCTTTCTGCTGAGGTTTGGCCGTTCACTTACACGACAACAGCCCTCATTACAGAGAATCCCCCACAGAGGTGTGAAATGCTCCTTATGCGAAGTCGCGCATGTGCACTCCAGGCAGCTGCAGTCCAAAGTTTTTCTGCTCTAACATCAGTTTTAATAAATGGCAGCTAGCAGTGTTTTTGTGCTGCTCATCCTTTTTCAGCATGTAGGAGCAAAACTAATAAAATCCAGAGATGTTGGTGTATTCACCAGTTTGGACGTAACTGTCATGCCGATACTGCATGCACAGTGAATGCAGCTGAGCATCAGGGTTGCCAAATAAATTTAAAATGCCTTATTTACCCCCTTCTTTTCTGTACACATGTTCAACAAACACAGCACACACCTCATCTTAGAATATTTTTACTCAGCACATATGACAGTTTAGGTCAAAGTACTATCATTTTAAAAGCCACAGTACTATAATTCATATTTTCTTATCTGGCAACCCGACTGACATGGAAACTACTGTGTTTTCGTGTAAGCCTGCTAATTTTTTATTACCCCTAATAAATATTGAAAAAACAGGAACATTTCCAGAGCTTGTTCTTGTGTAAACAGGGCCTTATCAAAGATCACTTTGACTTGGTCATTTTAAAAGGAGCTGCATGCTGAAAGCATCTGGGCACCCCTGCACTAGGTCTTAAAATTCCAGTCCCATTTTTTACTTTTGTGTCCTTTTACTCTGTAAGACTTTAAGGCTCTGATTCCCTCATTCTTGCAACACTTCAGTCAGTAGTCAATCTTTTCACATCCTGCACTGGAAAAAAAGAAATCGGACACAGAATAAAACTGGTGTTTATATGCCTTAAAAATGTAAAGTCTTGCTCTGAATTTCGCCTGCCTCTCTCTCTCTCTCTGAAGATAGAATGAAACGTAGGAGCATCACTGCAGTTCCAAGCAATCCATGCTGCTGGATTAAACTTGATTTGAATTATTTTTGTAACAAAAAGTACCATTTTAACATGTCCTCTAACTGTGGAAGCTCTAGGCTGTGGTTTTGTCTGCGACGTACAATCAACTCCTTTTAAACATTGTCCTCCAAGTGTTCACAGGTCACACATGGAACAGCATAACGCAAAATTATGTGAATAATTGTGGACGTTCAGTTTTTCTTTTTTTAAGATCATCCTAATTTGGAACACTTAATGTCAGTTTTGCATTCAGGTAAGTTTTATTTATAAAAGATGAGCGTACAGGTCATCTTGAAGGTGTTACAGCCAAAGTTTGACTTTTTAAGATTCACAGGAAGTTAAAAAACGAGGGTTGGACTTGCTCAAACCCTTTAGATTTTGATGTAGGAAATTATTGGCAACTGTTCACTTGAATCTACTTAACACCATCATTCTTGGATTAGTGGCATCAACCCCTTGAGAATCACATGTTGTTAATTAAATTGTTAAATCCTCAAAAGGCAAAGGCAGTGACTTTCAGGAATCTACTGGTTTTAGAAAAACGTTTCTAAGGAGAGGTTTTTATTTAACATTAAATAGAACCAAGCTTGCTGCTTTTGTTTGTGAAGTAATTAATGAGAGACAAGTCCAACTCTTTCCTTTAAGGCCCTGAATGTGTTGCTGCAACAGACGACTCGCTGAAACCACATGTGACCGGCGTGTGCTGTTCATCTCAGCCCTACAGCAAGTTCTTCCCCCTCCGTGCCAGATTTGGTACATCATCAGAAGCACAAAGAAGTCAAGTCAGATGTTGGACAAAAGCTCGACTGCATTAAGGAAGAATCTGTTCAAACTTTTGGGCCGATGGTGGTTGTTTTGGTTTTCAAACTCAGGAGAGGATGAGAAAGTTTTCCCACCTGTTGTTTCAGTGACTTTGCGACCGTTCAATCACAGTCTGGAAGGTGACGGGGAATATAAATAATACTGTTTAAAGACAAAAGGATGCAGGATGTTAGTTCTGTCATTGTAAAGATGAGATGTTTAGTAAAGAAAATGGCTGAAAATCTGATTGTTTGGCCAAGAAAATGTCCTTCACTGTAGCTGAAAATCCAAAATGATGCTTTTCCTCCCTGTGCGTCCATTTCATACATCCTGTCCTTTCTACTCACTTCTATGTCACCAGTATGATTGCATGTGAGTGTGCATGTGTTTATACCACATCTCCCCCAATCATCCAAAGCTTCTAGCACATACCAACACCGTTCTGTTAGAATCAGAACCTTAAACAATGCCATGTTTCAGGGACGGAGCCCATCAGATTGGAAAGCGTGTTTCTGCGTGTTGGCGTTCAATCTTTTCTCTCCATCTTGTGTTTTTTACACCAAACTCACATGTCGGAGCCATTTACAAGTGCCTGAACACATCCTCTTTGTGTATTTAAAATTTGAAAAGAAAATAAGAGAAATCTTTCTGTTTTGAATTGGACCCTTTTTTTTTACACTTAACTATTTTTACCTCTGTAAAAACAAAAGAGCAAAATTTATATATATCAAGTGTATGTTGTACATTTTTTTTATTTCTCTTTTTTTAAATACCGTAACTGTTTCCAACATGTACAATGGATGTAACTCTTGCTCTCGGGAAGGGAAAGGAAGAACTTTGTAGAAACCGAGGAGTGTCCGGGTCTGTGAGGAAGCTGAAGTAAAATGTGTGTCTTACCTTCTGCCTCTAATAAAAATGAGAGAACACAGAACATGCAAGTCGCTGGTTGATTTTAGTTGTGCCAGGATGGTTCCCCACTTAATTTGCAATAAAATCAGAAAGGCTCGTGCTTCAGTCAAATTAACTTTCCACTGCTGACTTGCACGTTTACGATGAGGCTTTAAAGGGTTAAAAAAAACGATGAATCTTCTGCAAAAACTTGATTCAAAGCAAAATACAGAAATGTCTGCACAAGTTTTTAACAATAAAATGAGTCAAAGACAGCGAAGTAACTGAAGTGCTTATTGTTACAAAAATGAGTTCTGTTAGTTTGATTTGTGTTCACGCTTGAAGGACTCTTGACTTTCTGAATTTCTTAGTTTCTGTTTAAAATGATATTTTAAATTTGTTATATGTAGAATTATCATGAGAAGCCACAATTAACCTGAATGATGTCATGATACTACTTCCACCATGTTTCTACTTGCACTTTCAGAACAATAAGCGGTTTTCCACCCGTCCATTCATTATCTTTACCCGCTTCTTCCGTTTCAGGTCACGGGGGGTCACTGCAAGAGGCGGGGTATACCCGGGACAGGTCGCAAGTCTATCATAGGGACATAGAGACAAATGAGACAACCATTCACTCACCTAGGAACAATTTAGAGTTACCAATCAGCCTAATATGCATGTTTTTGGTTTGTGGGAGTACCTGGAGAAAATTCATTCATTTAACCTTTATTTAGACAAGTTAATCCCACTGAGCCTCAGACACTCATTTACAAGAGAGACCTGAAAATCCACGCAGCACAGAGAGAACATGCAAACTCCACTCAGAAAGTTCCCTGCCTGGGATTCAAACTGGTGACCTCGCTGGGAGGCGGCTGCTAAATGCGCCACCGTGCTGCCCAATAAGTAGTTTTCTTTTCTACAAAATAGATTCAGAATGATTTCTTGTGGTTTCAGTGGTCTAAAAGACATTTTACATTGGTTCTTTGAAAATTCCACTTGATCCTTGGCAAACAGCAGAGCAGCAGCAATGTTTTTTTTATTTTCTGCTTTCAGTCCTGCTATGTACAGATTGTGAAAACTCTAAACTGTGCTCTTCAGGTACCATTTTAACCATGCCTTGGGATGATGTACAATATTTAGAAAAAGTAACAATTTGACTTTGTATTGGTGGAGTACCTGCCAACTCTAAACTGGTTATAAACATCAAATCCTTCTGCAAAACAAATCTCAGGTCTTAAGAGAAATGCTTTTCCTTTATTAAATCTCATCCTAAATGCATTTTTTACACACTAGCCTAGTTGGAAGTTTTGATCAGAGAATTAAATGTAAGATGACTTCATGACAAAAGGTTCCAGTTTAGGAAAGTGTTCTCACTAAAAGAAAGTAGAAAGACATACTGTCACAATGTCTTCTCTTCACGGTGTCGTTCCCCAGCTGCCTCCCTCCTCAGCAGCAACATGTGATAGCCATTGAGGCCTTCAAGCTGTTTCACTCTGAACGTCTCTGGAAAAGCATGTGGGCGATAATGATGGAGCGTGAGCGAGCAAAGGGGGAGGGAGAGAAAAGAGGAGAAAGAGGGTCCCTCAGGGCTTTGGGGGCCTGCTAAGCAGCTCAACGGCTGCAAACAGCATCTCAGTCCACATGTGCAAACATTTAAGATGTCTGCTTGTGTAATGGGGTCAGTGTGGCCCCCTCTCTGGGTGCACCGAGCACCGGCGTTCACTTCCCACAAGAGTTTATAGAAATGAGGCGGTTGTGGACTCAAATCCAAAGATTGATGAGATTTTGGTGTTTTCTTCATCCTGACAAATGTTGCTCATTGAACCTCCCAGGAACATCAATAAAAAACCCTTCTATCCTATGGCTCATTAGATATTTTGCTAACAGATAGTGGTGACTAACAGTTAATGCCTTAATATGCTGCTGTTTATTGAACATCAGATCTCTTTCCTCTAAATCCCTGTTAGTTAATGAACTGATACCTGATCATCATATTGATTTATTCTGTCTGACAGAAACTTGGCTACAACAGGAGGATTTTTTGTATAAATGAATCCACTTCTGTTAATTATTTAAATTGTCTTGTTCCTAGAACAACAAGTCGAGGCAGTGGTATAGTTTCTATTTTTCTGTCGGGACTATAAATTAATACTAAACCAATTATAAGTTATAATACTTTTGAATCACTGTCTCTCAGTCTATCCCATCCAAAATGGAAAATGAAAAAGCCACTTTCACTAATTGGTATATATCGTCCACCAGGCACTTATGCTCAATTTTTGTCTGAATTCTCAGACTTCTCAACTGATTTACTACTAAATACTGATAAACTTGTAATAATGGGTGATTTCAATATTCATGTAGATGTTGAAAGTGATAGCTCAAAAATAGCCTTTAATAATTTCATACAGTCCATTGGTTTTACCCAAAACATCAGAACACCTATTCATTCAACTCTCAGTATCACACCCTTGATCTGGTTCTGACTTTTATGGCATAGAGCTTAAAGAGCATAGAGCGGCGCCATCTTCACTTCCGTGAAGATGGTGCTGCTGTGCATGGCCTGCCTGTGTCTGCAGTGATTGTGTTTTTTCTGTTTTTGTCATTTTTCACCTACAACACCGACTCACTGCTGGTTTATGAACGTCATCAACTCCTAAATCTCAGACTATCTGCCACCAGTCTTGCTTTGTTTGATCATAATGATCATAATTCTGGACCTCCTCTTGGACCCCCACCTCTGCTTGAAGACGTTCCTGTTTACCTCCGCCGTGGTATCCTGCCCGCTCGAAGACATCGCTCCAGGCGCCGTGGAAAACGGGCTGGCTGTCTTGTGAGGATCAAAGCCTGCCGGGCTGCTGCTGCGGCTTCTTCTTCAACTGCGGACTACATCTTAAATCACCTGTCCTGGCGCTGCACCGATCCACCTGAGTCCTTCCCGGTCCCACATACCATACCACTTTATTTATAAAGCACTTAAAACAGCTACAAGGCCAACCAAAGTGCTGTACAGACAAAACAACAGGTAACACACCAAGCAAAATACAGAAATTAGGTAAATCAGAATAAAGGCATAAAAACGATGCAGATAATGACGACAAACCAGTGTGGAGCATACAGGTTCAAAACACAGATCATCTAGTTTTGAAAGCTACTGAATAGTAGAGAGTTTTTAAACGGGACTTGAAAACCGAGAGGGAGGGGGCCTGTCTGACAAACAGAGATAACTCGTTCTAAAGTCTTGGTCCTGCTACAGAGAAGGCCCTGTCACCTCAGCGCTTAATATGAGTTCCTGGAACTGTGAGGAGCATCTGGTCCGCTGACCTCAGGGAACGTGGTGGGACATACGATTGTAGCACATCAGAGAGATGGGGGCGGGGGGCGACACTGTTCAGTGATTTGTAGACATACATGAGTATTTTGAACTGGATTTGAAAGTGAACCGGTAACCAGTGCAGTGAGGCCAAAACTGGTGTAATGTGCTCTCTTTTGTCTGTACTGGTTAAATATCGGGCTGCTGCATTCTGGACCAGTTGTAGTCGTGCAATGGAGGTCTGACTGATACCAAACAGGAGTGAATTGCAGTAATCAAGCCTAGATGTAATGAATGCATGTATTACTGTCTCCAGGTTATTTTTGGATAATATGGGCTTCAGTTTAGACAGCCGCCTCAGTTGGAAGAAACATGATTTAACAATCATGTTTACATGATTGTTAAGTTTCAGGGAAGGGTCCATTATCACGCCCAGATTAGTGACTCTTTGTTTTTCTGACAGGGTTAGAGCGGAGAGGTCGATACAGTGGTTTGTGATCGTGTCGTTGGGAGGGAACAACATGACTTCAGACTTTTTTTCATTGAAACTCAAGAAATTTAAAGCCATCCAGTCCCTGATGTCAGCCAGGCAGTTGAGCAGCTGTTGAATAGAGCATATACCATTGTGTCTTAGGGGGAAGTAAATTTGAAAGTCATCGGCATAGAAGTGGAAGGGTATGTTGTGTTTCCGGAAAATAGC